ATAAGCAAATTATACCTGATAAGCAAATTATATTACCCAATTATGGTTTGTTTGGTTTTTTTTTTTTTTTTTACTTTTTTTGTGTCTGTGTAGTACTGGAGATTAAGTACAGTGTCTTCACACTAAGCTGTATCTCCACCTCATCCCTCTTGAAATTTTGAGACAGGATCTCACTAAGTTGCCCAGGCAAAACTCTGCCTTGGTATCCTCCTATCTCAACCTCCTCAAGTGCTAGTATCACACAGGTGCATATGATTATGTTTTGTACCCTGTAGGGATCCTTGCTGTGATGCAGGGCTAATCAGAAGGCAAGGAAGTCGGTGGAATTTAAGGAACCCCAGAATCAAGAATTAGGTTAATTAAAATTAATAGAGTGAGGAGAAAATTGAGTTAAATAGTTTGGCTTTCAGACTTGAATATCTGTAAATAAGGTGAATTTCATGTGAAGAGCAATAAGGTAAATTGCAAGAATATAATGGGCAGCAGTTACAAGGGTGTATGCTATGATAATTTGAGGAAGCACATGCATAAGGGTTCAATTCAACAAGGCTTCTGACTTCCACAGTAAGGGATATACAGTAACAATGCAAATGTTGCTTTGAGGAGGAGAATGAAATTTGTATTCATTTTGTAGCTGATAGTTTGAGTAGACTGATCTTGGAGTAGTTTTGAGAGTAGGACATTTGAATAATTGAGAAATGGTTAACATTGGCACTAAATATCTAGAGATGGATCAAGATTGAGTGCTTAGAAAATTAAAATTGTGATGTGTGTGGTGCATTTTAATGTAATAATAGTTTTACTTACATTGTGTTACACATAAATTAGAAACAGATTTTGAAAAAGAAAAATCAAAAAAAAGACCCAGATTTATGTTGCTAAAAAGAATAGGTTAAGATTAGATAGGTGAAAACAGAACCAGAAGGCTTGGAAAACATTAATATACTAACTTCTCTGATTGAAAATCAGAAATTGGGTGGAGAATAATAAAAATAACAGTTCAGTATTAATACTGACTTAAAAATCTTTTTAAAATACCTGTTCCCCATAAATACTTCTTGTGATCCTCTTCCTTAAAATACATATATAGTGCTGAAAATACAGCAAGATATATAGAAAGATGAGGTTATTAGATCTTGTAATTGAATGGACATTTTTTTAGGTTGAAATAAACACTCAAACTATAGTCAGAAGTTACAGGGCGTATTTGGGTCTCCATCTTTATTTGTATTCTGTGAGTATTCTTTACGTCACTAGAATGGTAGAGATTAGAAGTGTTATTCTTTTCATCTACTGGAAAGCTATAAATTATCAGAACAGTGACTTTCCTGTGTTTTGGGTTTAACTGGATAAATCAGTGATATTCTATAGGGAGAGGTCAGTATAGGATCAGAAAACTTAATTTTAAAAAATCTACCTCAATTTGTTCTTTATTTGGTAGGTAGTACAAGTACTCTTCAAGTCACTGGAATGGTACAGCTTAGAAATGTTCATCTTTTTCACCCAGTGGCACACTTATAAATTATCAGGGGAGGGATACATTTTTGAGTTTTGGGCTTAAGTGAATTAATCAGTATTATGTATAGAAAGAGGTCATTGTAGACAGGAAAACTTAATACAAAATCAGCTAGCTTGTATTTCAACTAGTTAAAAGTATACATTGAGAACATAGTACAGTTGGTGTGTTAATGTTTCCCAAGCCTTCTGATTATTCAAAGAAAGTCACAGTGGTTGAGAACCAATCATGGTAATAAAAGCCCTATGAAAGAGAATAGGAATGAAAAATAACATTGCTACTGCATTGGTAAAATTGGAATTGGTTTTACTTCACTTCCCTGATATAATGTATATGAAAGTTTGAAACTATGCTATGTGAAGTAGTGATAGTATTGCCCCTAGACAGAGAATTGGAAGGACTGAAGTCCCTCAGGTAAATGGACAGATTCTAAGGAGAGAGTACAGTGGTAGAGAACACAGTTTGGAGGTTGTAGGCAGAGTAGGATCCATCCAGTCCAGAATGAAGTCATCAGTGATAGTGCATGGAAATTGAGATCTTCTCACAACCAGAGTGATGAGTTGTTAGCATGGATGCAGAGGCTGTGGAGTGAGGATGATGACAGGGTAGAAAAGAACAGTTGCCTGAATGTTAGGAAGCTTATGGAAGAAGTTGGAAATACGGTCAGTCTTCAGAGGTCATCAGTGGTGATGATTTGGAGAGAAGTAACAGAAGGCTAGGAAAGACACTGGGTACTGAGAAAGCCTCTTGCTCCAGCCTCTTCTTCTCTCCCAGTGTGCAGTCCTAGTGGTATTATCTTGAGTCCTTGTGGTGAGTGGTCCCTTTAAAAATATTTTTTTTCTTTCTGAATTTGTAGGTCACACAAATGAAAACTGGCAGAATTATGCTTTATTATGATAGGATTGTACTAGAAAAATTTCTTTGAGGTACATAAAAAAGCTATCTACGCAGGTGGAGCCATTTCACTATTTGCTAAGATTATCCCATATCCTAGTTTTCCTAGAACTGAGGTTTCCCATGATAATAAGACTAAAATGTGGATGGTCCTAGACAAACCAAAATGATTTGATCACTTTCCTGTCCCTTTTAGCAATTCATGGAAATGACCAGCAATACCATTTTATACATGATCTCTTTGTACAAAGAAGTAATATTCCTGTATTGAGTAAAATTAAATTCCATATTCTGTAGTTTACATTTCAATAAAATACTTCTTTTATATTTCACGGTTGCTAACTCTTTGATATGTTCAGAAGAGGTGATTGGTTGATTCAACCATCTTTATCTTTGCTACACTTGAGTTTTAAGTTTTATGCATTTGGTACAAGAACTTTGCCCAGATTCAGGCTTTCTAGCCTTTAAGAATCCATATTCATTGGATTAACCTTCCCTGTTTTGTTACTGAGTCGTTTCCTGTGGTTAATACTATCTTCAAAACTAGACCTACAATTAAAGCAGAAACTTTGTCTTCTGCCATTTTTGTATCTTTGTCATGAAGACTAGGTAACCAGTAAGTATGTTCATTAATTGATAAAGGCATATGGATTTGTGACAGTACTTCTCTGGCTTTTCAAAGTCTTGACACTATATACAGAATGAATCAGATCTATTCTGATCAGATTTTTTTTTTTAATTTTGCTTTTGACTTAAGGTCGAAGTCTTGAGTTGAGCAGGCAATTAACATATATCTTATAAATGAGGATTTGATATGTGTAACTTAAGTGTGCTGTAGATTTTTATCTACATTTAGGACTCTTCTGTTTGCAGTTGAATGATAATGAACTTTTATATAATCTTGTTCCATTTTTAAGGGTTAGACTGGTCATGATTGACATAGATGTAACTGGCCATATCTGTGAATATAAATTATAACTTAAATTCATTTGGATGAATAGCCAGTTTGTTGGAAAGTTTGTTACAATTTAGGCTCTTTTTTTCTTTTGCTGCACCCATCTTCTAAATTCCAGAACCTGAAGTGATCCTATGGTTTTTCTGTGTGCTCATATCCTGCATACCAGAGACAGCTGGAAAATAGTCATATCATCATGTAGTTTGTTGTCCCTGTGGGTTTGTGATAAGCACAGTATTAATATTGCTTAGCAAAAGTTGGTCAGCCCCCTTCTCAGGCCTCTTAGCATTTACCCCAAAATACTACCTTCATAAACAAGCCTGTTATCTTCCATTGATTTAATTCCATTTGCATAACTGTGACTCCAAAGCCGTTCGTCTTCATAAACCTGTTTCCTCAGCCTCACTGTCTGTGATTCCTGGATGTTAGCAGAGTCCCTTTGAACTGCATGTCCAAAGTGAAATTTTCTAACCTCCCACAATTAAAAACAGTAACTAGTCTTTATTAAGTGATTACTTTCTGAAGGGAAAGGAAAAATTATGGGAAATGGAAAAAAAAGAAACAAAGTCTTTATAAATAAGGAAAGGTGGAGGGGGTGAAGGGAGGGCAGGGAATGGGGAAAAAATAAGAACCAAGATGCATCATGTTAAAGGTACAAGTTCCCAATGAGAAATGTAAATGTATTGTATACCTAAAATGTACCAATAAAAGAATTTAAGGGAAAAAAAAGTGATTACTTCCTGTTGAAGTACTAAATATTTTACCTGTTTTATATTATTTAATCCTTATTAAACATGAGATGGATGGCTTTGCTCTTCCTAGCCTACTGATACAAAAGAATAAGCCATAGAAAAGATAACTTCACACAGTTCGTAAGTGGCCGAACTGGAAATGAAATCCAAAATCTTGACTCCAGTTGGATTTTTTTTTTTTTTTTTTTTTTTTTTGGTACCAGGGCTCCAACTCCAGACCTTGTGCTTGTGAGGCAGGCAGCGGAACCACTGAGCTAAATTCCTGGCCCTAGATCTTGAAAGCTGTACAAGATTGTCTCCTTTTGCTCTTCTTTCCCCCCCTTTCCTGGTTGTGGCTCCATGATCCACCAAGATACTGAAGTGGGAATTTTTAGTTGTTCAGATTCCTTTTTCTGTATAACCCTCTGCAATGCCATAATTATCTGGTCAAAGACTTTACATATATCCTGTTACTTCCTTCATACTACCAGTGCTTTTGTTGAGGTATGTTTACCCTCTCATATCTAACCTCATAGCTGTTGAGGTTATTTTTTCCAAAATGCAGTTCTTATTTTTGAACCATACTATGCATGATTTAGTGTATCATAGAAGCTATTCTATAAGAACCTGTACAATTTAGATGTGTTCATTTTCATCTCTTTACCTTTTTGTTCCATTATCTAGCTCCACTAGTAATTCTCCAAGTGCTTCATGTTTTCTCCTTTATTCTGTTTTGAAGAATTATACTTCAAGATGCAGTTTACTCAGAGGTTGTCTTCTCTGACCCTTTCCTGGCCCCAGTGGATTGGGTTATTTGCTTTCTCTTTTGTGCCCCTGGTATACTACTTACATTTTATATCCACTTTAGTAACTAGCACACTGAAAGCTATTTATTTGTTCACAGGGTTGTCTCTTCACCAGACTATGAACTCCTTGAAAGAAAGAATCGTGTGCTACTCATCTTTATATCCCCAGTGTCTAGCACAGCTCTTGATACATAGTAAGTGATGAACATTTTTAAAATTAATAATGTACTTAACTCAGTGTGTGTTGATAGTTATTTATACCTATGTAGACCTAATAATGTGTCATAAAAAATTTGGCTGTAGAATTAACACTTTCAGGGCTCAGTTTCCTTATTTTTACTTTGCTTTTCAATTTTTTTTTTTTGGTACCAGGCATTGAACTCGAGACCTTGAGCTTTTGAGGCAGGTGGTGGAACCACTGAGCTAAATCCCCAGCTAGTTTCCTTATTTTTAAATGGACATAGTATTTACCTCCTCACTATGTTGTTATAATGCTCAAGTTAAGGAATATCTGTTTAACATGTTTAACAGTATGTTCTACTTTAAGTACCACACAACTTTGTTATTAAATGAAATGTGGGTACTAATGTATGTTGAAATTGATCCTTTTATTTGTTATGTGTCTTTCTTTTAAGGTAAGATGGTGTCATTTTTTAACGATTTTGTCATGTTTTGCAGTTAAAATTTTTAGTTACTTGTTACCAGAAGTATGTGTCCTTAACATGTTCACAACAAGGCCGTATTCTGTATGTCTCGATGCAGGGCGGCTCTGAACCACTGATGGGCCAAGCTGACAGGAACATATTAAGTCTGAGGATTAATTTATATAGCAGGGTTGGGTTCAGTTAGAACAAAGGGAAAAATCTCTTGGAACTGGGAATCAGCATACAGAGGGAGTGTGGTATAATAGAGTGAAGAAGAATCTTTTACCTGGTTGGCAGTGAGTCCTAGTCTGCATAGTTTTGTTTTGTTTTGTTTTGCATTTTTTTTGTAGTACCGGGGATTGAACTCAGGACCTTGCACATGCCAGGCAGGTGTGGCGCCACTGAGCTACATCCCCGGCCCTACATAGTGTTTTTACTTATAAAAATTCTTCTCAGATAAGTAATCTGACAACTTTCTTTTTAGACTCAGAAATTATTCTTCTGTCTTGAGCCCAGTGTGATGGCATATACCTGTAATCCCAGCACTTGGGAGGCTGAGGCAGGAGGATTGCCATGAATTCCAGGCCAGCCAGGGCTGCCTAGTGAGTTTAAGGTCAGCCTGAACTACATAGCAAGACCCTGTCTCAAAAGAACGAACAAATTATCTTTCGTCTAATTCACTAATAAAATTCTTTGATTTTTTTTTTTTTTTCCATCTACATTCAAATGAGTGAATGTCTTCACCTATCTTTAGGTCTCTTAGTTTCCAGAGGAAGAAGAGTCTTTTTCTTGGACGACTAATTATTGCCATCTGTGTGGAAAGCTTTCTTTTCCATCATAGAAAAGAAATCACACTTGATGAATTAGTGATTCATACTTTTCTATATATATACTTTCTTGCCTTCCATGCATTTTTTATTAAAAAATGTATAATTTGAACATGCCAGATTATAAGTAACATTGCTGTCAGTAGCAAGCACAAATTTTTAAACCAACCATTCCAAACCACAAACTAGGTCAGTGCCAACATGATTAAAGATACACTTGTAAATGCTTCCCCAGCACTATATTTCTCTCTTTTCCCACCTGCCAAAGTAACTACCATCCTAAGTTTTGTTTTTTTATCTCTTCTTTTTTTAATGCCACAAATACAATTCTTTCGAGTTTCATAATTTTTCTGTCTGTAGAGTTTTTAAAGCTTGCACAAATAGTATTTAATTGTAGAGGAAAATCTAGTTTACAGTTTTTGTATACATTTCAAGGAAAACATTCAAACAGAAAAGAATACATAGAAACATCTTTTTTTTGAGGGGGGCTACCAGGGATCGAACTCAGAACCTTTCACTTTCTAGGTAAGCGTCAGAACCACTGAGCTAAATCCCCGGCCCCAGCAACATCTTAATATGTAAATTCAAATTTATAACTGGAAAATAATTGGAGACTTAATTTTGGACTGTGTAGATATGCTGTCTAGTGTGATGCTCCTTATACAAAGTCCAGAGATGTGGAAGAGTCCGAGGTGTGCAGAAGCATTTCTGCACACTAGTTTCTTTGTCATGTGCAGATATGTTTCCATTAGATTCATGGAATACTCCTAAAAATGACAGCTTTATCACTCAGTAGCTTTTTTGGACCATAGCAGTTCTTCAATGCATTTTATGTAACTGCATGTTTGTCATACCACTTTCTGAGGCTCAGAATCCAGTGTCCCACATTTCTGGATATCTTTTTCAATTGTGGAATCAGCATTTTCAAAGAAAATGCATACGGAAGATGAGGCCGTAGTAGCCACCAAAAGAAGCCACTTCTTTATCCTAAGTATTTAGAAAGCTTTCAGGTGACCTCAGGATAGAATGTTAAACCTTGGAGGTAGGGCTGTTTGAGAGGAAGACGTTAATGCTCAGAAGTCCCATTTGTCTTTGATTTTCCCTTTTGTTATTGTGTTTCTAAGATATATTCCCGTTGTTGCCTGCAGAGATAGTCTGTTCATTCTCACTGCTATATGATGCTGCGTTGTGTGAATTTGCTTTTTTCTAATCAGTTTTCTACCAGTGAATGTTTCAGTAGTTTCTTGTTATTATGAAGAATATTTATGCTAGAACAAAATAATAATTACTCTTTGAAGGGCATGCAAATGTGCAGCTTTACATGATAATGTCAGATTGTTTCCCAACAAGATTTCGCTAATTTAAATACCTACCAGCAGTATATTAGAGCTAGCAGCTTTTCCATATTGCTTTGCTATTATTCAGTACTTGGGTCAGTTTTCTGTCACTTTGATAAGATACCTGAGAAAAGTAATTCAGAGGAGGAAAGATTGATTTTGACTCACTATTGCAGAGGTTCCTGTTCTGGCCTTGGTGCTTTAGGCATGTGGAGAGGTAGATGCATCCTCCCAGAAGGGCCTGAGGAGGAAGAAAGCTGCTCATCTAGTGGCAGCTGTGGAGGGGGGGTGTAGTGGCAGCCTTTGCTCCGTAAGATTCCTCTTTCATCACTTTTGTTCCATCAGCCCCCTTCCCTTCAATTTCCTGTCTGTGGTGGTTAATTGACTAATTGTCAACTTGAGCAGGGAATGACCAGCTTAATTGAGTCAGCCTGGGCATGGAATACCCACTTAAGGAGGCTTGTTGGAATGGTATAAAAGGAGAATGGAAGGGAAGGATTTCAGCTGATTTCCCTTGGAAGAGGTTCGTTCCAGCTGCTTTTCTTCAGAGAGGCTTTGGCTGTTCTCTTTGGCTGAATTCTGGTCTTCACCTTTGGCAAGGTTGGCTGCTGATGTCTTTGGAGGAGCTGTGGTCTTCACCTTTGCCTTTGCCTTTGCCTTGGGTATCATCTCTTGTCTTTTGGCACGGATTCTTCAACTTCTAGCACCGGCCTTTTGGCCTGCCAGCATAGACTCTTTATCCTCCAGCACTGGCCCTTGAGCTTTCTGGTGCAGATCCTTCAGTCGTCCATTGCAGATTCCCTGGCCCACTGATAGGGATTTGCATAGGACATGGCTCCAAGCCTTTGGCTGGATTCTTAAGATCTCTAGTGTGGACAGATCTCTTTCACTTTTCTACATTTGACTCTGTGGATGGATATTGTCAGTTAAACTTGTAGGTTTCTGTGTCCTGCGTTAAATCTGTTTCTCTTGCAAATACAATGGACCCTTGACTTATGAACTCAATTTGTTTCTGAGGGCTGGTTATAACTCAAGTTGGTTAATTGCCTTCAGAGTCTCTCTGGTGCATAATTTTAGGCCACCGTTTCTTCCAGGGGCAGATCTCAGTGTCCTTAGTGAGACATTGGTCCAGGATTTCTCAACCCCACACAGGAAAGGATGTTGCAGTGTTCCTTTCAGACCTCCTTACGGGTTAAATCTGTATCTGAGACCATCTGGAAGCACAAGTGGCCAGCATTCAGGTCGTAACACAAGACATTGGTCATAAGTTAAAACTAAAATTCTGGTTGTAATCCAGGTTGTTTTGTGTGTCAGGTCAGTCATAACTCGAGGATCCACTTTACTGACTACAGCACTGTCCCACATGCCAGTCATCTCTGGAAGCACCCTCAAAGACACACCCGGAAGTGCACTTTACTGATTTTCTAGGTGTTTCTCAATCTTAGTCATCACACATCCTGACAACATTCATAGTTTTTATAGCTTTAATGAATTTGAAAACCACATCTTGTCATCTGAAGTTATATTTTTCTGATGGGCAATGATAGCCTGAATTTTTTCATATATTTATTGGTCTTATAAGTTTCCTTGTCTACAAAATTCCAGTTGTTTTTGCCCAGTTGCCTAATGTATTATCTTATTATTTGTAGGCATCCTTAAATAGTTAAATTCTAATCTTTAATCAGCTTTTTGTTTTGCAAACATCTCTCAGTTGTCTTTTGGTTTCCTTTATTTTGACTTTTATAATAATTTTAAATTTTTATTTAGTTTTTCTTGTTATGACAAACAAGTTCTCCATAAGCATGTAGTCAAAATACTTATTTTTTTCCTCTTAATTAGTGAGCTGTGTCTCTCAAGATAACCTGTCAAGTTTAGTGCTGTAATTTCTTTCATATTTACATTTTTAGTCTGTTCTGAATTGGTTTTATATGTGATGTAGGTTAGGGATCCTGTTTTTTATAATCTCTTATCTAAGAACTAGTTTCTGACTTGTTTTTGGTTATTTTTCTTTCTACTTTATTAGTTTCTCATTATTTTGGGGTTTCTCTTGTTATTCTCTTTATAATTTGCCACATTAACCTATTAAGTCATCAGTTTCCAACCTTTCTTTTCCTACTATAAGTTTTTAAGGCTGAAGATTTGTTTCTAGGTGTAGCATTTTTGGTATTCCACAAATTCCTGTATGTCTTATCATTCAGTTCTTGGCACTTTTAAATTGTCCATTATGATTTCTTCTAACCCTTGAAATAGTTGAAATGTTTTTAAATTCTATTTACATTTAAAAATTTTGTATTTTGTTATTGATTTTTAATTTCATTGTATTATGGTCAGAGACAAGGAATAACCTTATTTGAAATTCAGTAAGACTTTCATTACTACGTAGTAT